GGGGGAGCGCTCCAGGCTTCCCTCAGGAAAGGGAAGGGTCAGCCTTCTCTGGGAAAACAGCTGCTGGGCTCTGGTGCTGACAGACAGCCGTCTTTCCCCACCAAGCCCCTGTCACTGCCCTTTCTCGAGCCTTGATTTCCCACCAGAGTTTGCGGAGGGGCCTATTCCGTCGACCCACCCGACCCACCTCGCAGATGTCTGGCCTGCTCCTCAGGCTTGGAGTAGACACAGTTCTCCTCCCCTTTTCCTCTCCTTCATCTCACTCACTGATAAATTTTTAAATTCTGGCTCACTTAACTTTCAGGGCTTTGGACAAGCCTGGGTCTGAGGTTCTTAATTTGTAAAAAAAAAAAAAAAAAAAAAAAGGAGGTGGAAATAGATTATTTGCAAATTTTCTTTCAGCCTTGAAATGCAAAATTGTGTCACTCTCCTGCTTCCCACTGCCTAGCAAAGCCCTAATTCCCTAGGATAGCATCCAGGGCCCGGGCTACCTTCTGGCCTTATCCATCACTCTTCGGTTTCAAGCACCTTAAGCATCAGCCAAACCGCACCACTCAAAAATCCCAAAGCACGATGGGTTCTCCACCTCTGGGTTCTTTGTTAATGGGTTGCCTCCCAGTAGACGCCTTCCCCGGTCATCTCCCCACACTCAGTCTTGCCTTTCCTCAAGTCATAGCTCAAGCGCCACAGGCTTTTCAAAGCTGGCCCTGGCTTTGCCCGTGGGCCAATCATGCCTGCTATCTCTGGTTTCTTTAGTAGCACTTCATCTGCATTTGCTTAAGCTACCCAGCCTTCTTTCCTTCTATTATAATCACCTGCACATATCTGATTCCTTTCACCGACGGCTTTTAGGTCGGAAACAATGTCTTACCTCTCTCTCTCTGTGTAACCCTAGCGAATCCAGTATTCCACTGGGCTCGGGCTCCGCCTGGTGTTTCTCAGAGTGAGCATCTCTCAAAGAACATTAGGGCCTTCAACATGAGGAACACGCCCCCAAACCCTTCCTTCCCTTCCCAAAGGACCTGAAGCCATCAAGAGCTCTACAATAAAACCCTGAGCTCTTTCTCCAGATCCAGCCCCGAGGCCTTTATTTCCCTTCCCCAGCTTCCCGTAGTTCTCTCTCTTAGTTCGTAGGTAGATCAACGTAGTCTCTCCAGCTAAGACATCTCTCCTTATCCTCCTTCTGTCTTGCAGAGTGGGATTTTCTTTATTAAGCAGGAAACTGGGAAGACTTTCACGGGGTAATATCGTTTGCCCCTCACACGTGTATCTACTACAGAATGCCTGCTCCTAGGAGCCTCAAAGAATGCTCATGAGTGAATGAATGATCAGGATAATCAGCTCACATGCATGATGAAGACCAAATGCTACTTCTCTGCTTCCCAGTATTTCGTAGACCGAGCCACTGTAATGGGTTGCCTGGATTTGCTACAGCCTTCGAAGTCTGGTGTCCCTGGAGTCCCTAGATCTTTAAAAAACGTACCTAATATCACTTCACTCCCCTGCTTGCAACCCTCCAGTGGTTTCCCTCCACATTATAACTGAATTCCAGCTCCTCACCCTGTCTTGTAAAGCCCATCATGACCCTATGACCCGACCCCCGCCTACCCCAGACATCCCCTCGCGTGCCCTTCCCCCCTTGCTCGTCAGGCTCCCGCTGCCTGGAACTCTTTCCGTGCCCTTGCACCACTGTGTCCTCTGGCTGAGTGCTCTTACTCATGACCTTCACAGGACCAACTCCTTCCTGTCCTTCAAACTTCACCATATGTGTCACCTCCACTGAGGCCCTCCATGGCCTCCTGGTCTAGAGCACCTTCCCCCAAACACAATCTCATCCCCTTTCCTTGTTTTCCTTATATTCTATTCAGCCCCTATTGCCGCATGACACACTGACCCCAAACAATTTATTATTAATGTATCTCATATTTCTGTGGGCCAGGAAATCAAACAGGGCACAGTGGGTATAGCTCTTCTCTGCTCCATGGGGTCTGGAGCCTCAGCTGAAGGGACTATGATGGCTGGGAGCTAGAAGAGTTGGAGGCCGGCTGAGTTCACTCGCTCTTGCTCACACAGGCTCTCTCTCTCCACCTTTATATGGCAGCTTGGGCTTCCTTCCAGCATGGTGGCCACGCCATAACTGGACTTCTTATGTGGCAGCTCAGTCTCCCAAGAGACCGAGGCAGAAGCTGCCAGTCCTCTCAGAAGGAACCATTTTGGGTCTCTTCCACCTTAGGCAGAAGACCCAGGTCAACTCAGATTCAGAGGGAGGAAACAGAGACCTTACCCCTCGAGGAACGTAACGTCAAAGAATTCAAGGCCATCTCTAATATGCCAGAGCCACATTTTGGCAAGAAGACATTTTCTTTTTTTTTTTTTTTAAAGATTTTTATTTATTTGAGAGAGAGAGCGAGAATGAGAGAGAGAGAGCATGAGAGGGGGGAGGGTCAGAGGGAGAAGCAGGCTCCCTGCCGAGCAGGGAGCCCGATGCGGGACTCGATCCCGGGACTCCAGGATCATGACCTGAGCTGAAGGCAGTCGCTTAACCGACTGAGCCACCCAGGCACCCAAGAAGACATTTTCTTATTAATTTCTTTGTTTACACGTGTAACTTGCTCATTGAGCAAACGGTGGGTATAAAACAAACTAGTTTTTTTCTCTCATCATGGTTTCTAGATGAACTATGTTGATTGTCCTTTTCCTGTCTCCTAATAGCATTTTGGGGAGACTTTCTAATGTTCCTGTCACTTTAATTTAGGAAAGGTCCAGCCCCATCTAGGCTGCTCTGCCCAATTGAAGACCCATCCCTTTTCCTCCCCCAGGCAGGGCCTGGACTGGGCCCAAGGGAGTGGGGAGGGCACGGTTGGCCCTTGTGCCCACCTTGCCCTCCCTACGGCTCCCTTCTGTTCTTTCACATGGGGTCAGGAAGGAGTGACTTGGGGAAAGGACTACTTAGCTGTGGCCATGTCTTCTCCGGCTGTGAATGCAGCTACCATGATGGGCATCTGGAGGCCAACTCCGTTGTGGGGCCCAACTCCAGGCACCCCACAGCACTGTTCCCTGATGTGCTCGCCTTCCAGCTCTATATCTGACAGCCCCCACTCAGTGATTGCCCCAACCCTCCACCCACAGCCCACGGCCTCCTCACCAGTGGGTTTTCCTCTCAGAAAAACGGGAGGGCAGCCTAGGGCCATTCACCTTCCACCCTGTCCCGCTGACCCATGGGAAACTCCTGCTGGCTGCCCCTCTCTCTGTCCTGTCGTGCTTCTGTTCTCCACTCCCCCCAGCCGCCATCCAGCTAGCACATGGGCTCATCTGCGAGGCAAATCCAGCCCCAGGGAGAGGAGGGGAAGGGGCCGGCAACCCAGGTCTCCGCTAACCTCACCTCCTCCCCCTTTCCCCCCTCCCTGGTCTCTGCTTATGAAGACTAAGGAAGAGGGTGCTGGGTGGTGTCTGATACTCACAAATACCAGCCATCTCATGATAAATTCTGTAGGCAGAGGTGTCCCGCCCCAAACTGTTTCCCTCTGTTTTAGAGTGTGAGATACTCAAGACCCTTTTCCTTGGCCCTGAGTCCCATCATCAATCTGAGCAACGGAAAAGTCCACCCAATATCTGGCAACATATGGTCATAGTCTGTCTCTCCACTCAAATCTAAGATCCGTGAGAGCGGGGCCTTGCGTGCTTTATTTGCCACTGAATCCTTGGTGCCGGGGGACAGCGTCAGGTGCCCAGGTGGTGCTCCACAAACATATAATGAGCAAATGAAGAGGGCCCTCTGAGACCTAAAGGGCACCCAATATGGTCAAACAGACCAGTCAGTTCCCTTCCTGCTCCTCCCTGCTGTGAGCCTCCCAGCCACCAACGCTGATTTTCACTTCTGGCCTCCAGGAGCTTCTCTGGTCTTTGTTTAGCTCTCTACAGGGGTTGCTGGCCTGGGAGGGGAGGCTGATGTCCAAGTGAGCGGCCCTGTGAGGCTGAGGGCCTTGGACATGCTGCAGGGGCTGGGCTGGGGTCCCTGGAGCTGAGCCAGAGGCCTGACCAAGGGGAAGCGGTGCTCTTCCCAGCTTTCAGTCTGTCAAAGGCAGTAGCTCAGGATGGCTACAGCCCTAACGTGGAGAAGTAGGAGAGATGTGCATTTCTCCTGCAAAGCATGTCCCCCCAGGCTGGCCCACACCTCCTCCGTGACCAGGCCAGAACCAGAGTGTCCTCCAGGAGGGCCCAGGCCTCCGTGAACACACTGCCAAGGGCAGCTGCCTCAGCAGGGCTGCTCCACCCCACCCTACCCCACCCCACAGCGCCCGACCCTCCCTGGCTTCCCTCCAGAGCCCGAGGCCAGCCCCTGCCCCCTGGGTCCCTGTGGGTTTGTCCTGAGCAGCCTCAGATGACAGAAATGGGGAAGTCCCCCGCCCGCAACACATACGACAGAAACACACACGTGCGCCTTGCAGGTCACAGGCAGGTGGGAATCTGACAGTATGCGGTTTGGACTGAAAAAAGAAAAAAAGGGAACTTTTTCTCATTTCATGCCAAGGTGTCCAGGAGGAAGGCAGAGGAAGATGGGAGGTAAAAAGAAGAAATCGGGCATCTGCAGATCCCCGCCCTCAGCCGCCCAAGCAGGCTGGGGGTGTTGCAGCTGGGACATCTCCTCCAAGAGCTGGGAGAAGCCCGGGAGCCCCCCTTCACTCAGGGTCCGGGGTGGGGGTGGGGGCCAGGCACTGGAGTTGCGTGGGGGGCGGGGCTTGGGGGCAGGGGAAGAGGAGGGTGCTCTTGCATTTGAGGCTGTTCCGGGTGGCTGGGGCCAGAACCCCCCCCTTTGAGGCCACGATTACATCTTGGGAACCCCTCAGCACGGCAGGAGTGGAGCCCAGGCTTTTGCCCGAAGCAGCTGCGAAGGGACCACCGCAGGGCCTGCGGGAGCGGCCCTGAGCGCGCCGCCCCTCTTCCCGCCCCGCTCCCGCGATCTGCTGTGCCCCGCGGACGCGCCGCCCCGCAAAGCCGGCTCCAGACTAGAATACTTTATTCAAGAGAATCTGGCTTGGCGGTCAGACGCAGTCAGGGGCAGCTGGCTCCACGTCCAGTCAATGGACAGGCCCCCTCTTTGCCTGTGTCCCTGAGAGGGGCAGGCGGTGATGCCCTGACCGTAAAGAACAATGTCCCAGCGCGAGCAGTGACAAGACGTGGAGAGAGACCTAGGGGACAAGCAGTGGCAGGCAACCGCCGGTCTCCAGAGCGGAGCTTTTGGCTCTGCAGGGAGCCCAGCTGCTGCCAGGGGAGGAAGACGCTGCGGGACTCCTCCACCCGCTGCCTGCCTTCGCTGCCTTCCCCTCCCCAGCCTGGGCCAGGGCTCCAGAGCAGGCCCGTCCACCCCTACGTCGGCCAGGAGCGCCCGGAGCCCCAGGCCCGGACCCGGCGGCCGTCCCCGCTCCCTTTCCCAGCGCAGGGAAGCCCGCTGGGGCCCCGCTGGCCCCTCACGAAGCCACAGGTCTTGGTTCTTCTCCAGCTGCAGCGCACGTGGGTCTGGGGCTGCCTTCTTTCTCTCACGTTCTGGTTAAGGCACTGAATTCCTGAGGGTCCTGTCCCTCCATGCCCCTCATTGCGGAGGGAGCAAGTCATTCAGCAGGGATACAATTGGCTAATAAATAGAGGGCAGGTGTCAGCAGGGAGGTAACTGAGTGTGGCCGTAATAAATACAGGAGCCGGGGGTGAGACGTCTCTCCTCCGAGGGGCCGGTTACCTCCGGGGAACAGTATGGCCGCACCTGCCAGAGACCAAACACGGAGAGGGGTATCAGCACCCCGTGAGGGCGGGGGTCCCTCCTATGGGAGGGGGGGCAAACCTGGAGGGAAAGCTTGGACAGGGAACACAGGGAGATTGCAGCATTCCTGGGTGTCTGCTTGCACCCAGGCCAAGAAGCTAGGAGTTACTCTTCACCAAGCACTTACCCCGGTGCCCAGCCCCACGCTAAGCACTTTTTCATTGCCCTTTAACAACTGCCTATGAGGAAGACCCTACTGTCACTTCCCTTTCGGAGACAAAACAAAACAAAAACCCAAAACCAACTTCAGGCTCAGAGAGGTTAAGACATTTGCCCGAGGTCACACAGTTAGTCAGTCACAGAGCCAACTTTGAACCCAGTCTGGGCTCCACACAATAATGCCTCTGGTTACTCTAGGACAGCAGTCCCCTAACGGGGTGGGGGTGGGGGGGGAGGTCTAGGCAACCCTAGATGTGCATGGAGATTGTCCGAGGGGTGTGTGAATACTGATGGTGCTCAGAGAATGGGTTTGCAGCCTGCACATACCGTCTGCCTGAAGACCATCTGCGTGAGAAAATGCCTGAGGTCTGCTTTCCCACCGCCTTGCCCACAACTGCCCTGCTCCCTCTGGGAAGGAAAGGAGCATCTTGCCCCTTCCTAAACTGGGTCAGTACTTTGCCCCAGGGTAAAAGTACTGGGGTGGGGACAGTGAACGAAAGGACAACTTGAGATATTGAGATAAGTGTTAGGAAAGGAGATAGGGTCCACGACTGGGCCACCAAGGCTTTTGCAAGTCAAGTGGTTTCCAAGTCTTCTGCTTTCAACAAAACTGAAGAACAATTTAACGGAATTGTCAGCTAATATGTCAAGAGGAGCGATTTTTTGTTAGCAGATCACCTTGAGGCTTTGGCAAATAACTTGGAAGGAGTTCAAGTGACTGTGTGACATCTAGTCCCATTTATTTATTTATGTGAGCACAGTTTCTCAACCTTTCCATCTATTAAAAAAATGAGAATGGAATTAATGCTGAATCCTGTCTCAGTCTGGCAAGAGGTAACATTCATTAATGGATTCACTAACTAATTAAAAAGAGGTAGCCACCTCCATCTCATTGAGATGCACTCCCGGTAAGATTGATTATACTTTTGTGTTTCGCATTTATTAAAATATGATGTATTTGTGCTGTTTTGATCAATTGGTACTACTAATAATTATTGTGACGATTTATTCCAGGGGAGAACTTAGAGTTTTCTGTTCACAGGAAAATGAAAAATCATTCAAATTTATATACCATTGTCATGGCAGATAAATACAATAAGGTGATAGATCAGGGACTTTTGAACATTAAAACATACTAAGCTAGGCCACTCTGTGGGGGGAGTGGGAGGGAAACACAAGGTCAAGGGAAAAAGAAGCAATGTAAACACGCAACCACTAAAGCAGAGTGTTCACATTTCTTTTTTAAAGTGAATGATGAGGGGGCACCTGGGTGGCTCAGTCGGTTAAGCGTCTGCCTTCAGCTCAGGTCAGGTCTCAGGGTCCTGGGATCGAGTCCCGCATCGGGGTCCCTGCTCCCCAGGGAGTCTGCTTCTCCCTCTGCCTGCCATTCCCCCTACTTGTGCTCTCTGTCAAATAAATAAAATCTTTTTGTAAAAAAAAGTGAATGATGGTGAGTATTAGGATAGCTTATCCTGTGGGGTAACGTGGAGGACATATAATGACTTTACTAAAATATTAACATTTATAACATACCAGAAATGATGCCCTTTGCAACTGTTTATAATTTTGATGAAAAAGTTCAATATCAACTTAAAAATAAGCAAGGGAGCACATGAGTTTTTAAAATTTGTTCAGGAGATTCCCAAATGAGATGTTTGAGCACCACTGTCCCGGCAAATGGAGCAACGAGACACTTTCGGTCTGGGGCTGCCTGGCAGGGGTTGGGGGAGCCCCACGTTGACTACACCGCTGGCTTCTCCTTCCAGTCTGTGCCTGGGCCCAAGGAAGAAATGAGGGCCACACACTTTCAGGGGACCAACATCCCCAGAATCCCTGTCCTCATGGAATGGGGTGGAAGTCTCCATTCACAGAGGGGAGGGCTCATGGGGTAGGACATGGGTCAGCTCCAGTCCCATGGTATGAAATGATTTCCTGGAGTCTGGCATGGGGAAGAGGCAGGCTCTAAAGGAGAACCACCGTGTGGCTAAATTTCTGTGCCTGTGAAATATTTTTACTATTTACTCTCACGGATTTGGGCTTTCCCGCTCTAATCCTCCCCCAGACACACGCAGGCCTGGGCTCCAGCCTGGGCCTCCAGGTGTGAAGCCAAGATGAGCAGGCAACATTGAGAGGGCAAGAGGAAGCTAGTGGACCCCCAAGTTCCCCTGCATGGGTGGGGAGCGGAGGGGTGGCAAAAATACAGGCCTGGGAGCCAGTCGGGGCGGGGGGTTGCACCTCCCCGGGGCCACTAGGAAGTAGGCCTGGGTACGTCTGCAGCTGTCGGACTTTTCATCACTAGTATGAGCAACTGTGGTGTGGGTCTGTTCACTGAGGTGCCTGGCACACAGTAAGTGCCTAGTAGATGTCTGCAGAATGACTGAGGGCTCCCCTCCTTCTACACACAGAGAGAAAGGAGGCTCAGAGAGGTGACATGACTTGCTCGGGGCCATGAAGAGACTTGGGGCTAAGCCTGATCAAGAACCAAGGTCCCCTGATGCTTCCTGGGCCCTAGATTCTCTAGGAGATGCTGGCTCCCTGTTCTGCCCTCAGACTGCCCTGGGCCTTGCTTTTCCCTTCCCGACCACTGATCCCTGCCGGCAGGGCTGGGGCTCCCCTCTGGCCCGGCCTCCTTGCCATCCCTGGTCCCCGTCTCCGCACACTCACAGGTGGCAGTCTGTGGGTCTCTGCTTCTCTCTCTTCCTCTTCCCCCTGCCCTTGGGTCTCCTCCTGCAATAAGCCAAAAGCGTCAAGACAAAGTGGCTGGGGGGCCCCCCATGCTAGGACAGGGGCCAGCAGGGCCGAGAATAGCCCGGAGCCCCAGCCAGGCCACTTACCTTTCTGGCTTCATCTTCTCCCACAGAGGCCTGGGAAGACAGAGAGACCAGGGGAGAGTCAGGAAACCAGGAAGTGGGGCTCCCTGCCACCCCCACATCTCTCAGACCTCCAGAGCCTGGGTCCTGCAGTTAGTGCTGACACCACTAGGGGCCAGGATGGAGCCAGCGAGGGAGGGATGGCCAGAGGCCTCTGGGCTTCAGCTTCCACTTCAGGCTCTTGTGATCCCACCAAGAGAGATAGGAATCTCCTCTTGGGGCCCCTTTCCACACCCTTCTGCACTCCTCAGCCTCTTGGCATTAAGTGTGTGGACTTGTGAGTTTGTTCTCTGCTGACTTTCTCTGTTCACTTCCTTCCCTTGTACCTGCCTTTCCTCCCAGAGTGCATTGTGGGAGTTTCTGCAAGGACAGTGCGTGAGGGGCAAGGCCCTGGCCTGGAGGATGGCTGCCACCAGCTGAGGCTCTGCCTGGCAGCGCACGACCGCCACCCCCAGCCTGGGGATGAATGTCGCTGCCGGCAACAGCAGGGGGAGTGCCTGAGGGGGTGGAATGAAGGGAGGTGAGCGCGAGCCCCACAGTCACCACGCATGCCCTGGCTCAGCCTGCGGGGCTGTGGCTGGTGGCCCAGAAGTGAGAAGAAAGGTGTCCCTGTTGCCCAGCCCGTTGGAAGGGGACAGGGCCTCAGTCTCCCCTGGGAACAGGGTGGGGGCGTGGGCAGGGTGGTAACCGTCCGCTTTGGCGCCAGGGAATGCTGCCCTGGGTATCCCCCCCGGGAGCCAGCGCGGGGCACGGCCCGGGCCAGTCAGGGCCTCTTGGACTGCCTGGTCAGGTCTCTGCCATCTTGGGCCCGTAAGAGACACTCTTGGAGTCTCAGTCTCCCCAGTCCACCTGCCCCAAAAGAGCAGTTGGAGGGCAAAGGTGACATAGAAGGTGAAGGGTCACTGAGTGGCACTGGGCCCGGGAGGGCTCACTACTGAACTATTGTTACATGGCTAAGCCCTGGCTAGGACGGAAGGGAGGCATGCATTAAAGCAGGGCCTCCAACAGAGGTACAGTGAAGAGGGCCTAGAGCCTGGGCTCAGGTCCAAAAGGGGTGGCCAGAGCCCTGCACAGCAGGCAGGGCAAGGCCAGGGCAGTGCTGGGGCTCCTGAAGAAACATGAGAAAGGGCAGGCTCAGGCGTTAGATAAGCGGGGGTTCACTCACTAGCTGTGGCAAATAATGTAACTGTTCCAAGCCTCCGTTTCCTCATCTGTAAAATGGGGACAACAATAGTACCTACTACCTCGTAGGGTTGTTACCAGAGGAGGGACCTTGTCTGCCTTGCTCACTACTGTATTTAAGCATCTAGGATGCGCCCGGCATACAGTAGGCAGTCCATAAATGTTTGTCGAATAACTGAGAAAACATTTAAGGGCCTCGTGTGGGGCTAGGCACAGAAGAGGTGCACACGATAAATAGTGGTCCTCCCCCTGTCTTCTGGCCCCAGGACAGGGCTCAGGACGTCTAGTCCGGTGCCTCCATCCATGGCCCAGGGGTACCAGGAGAGTACCAGGTTCCAGCCCATTTCTCTCCTCCGTGAGCCTGGTTAAAGTGTTGGGCCTGCTCCTCCTGGTAACTAATGTTCAGGGTGCCCTGGGCAAAGGTGGTAAGACCGGTGCTGGGCAGAGTCTCCACCAGGTAGAGGCATGACTTTAAAGAAAGCCCACTGACTCCTTCTTTCTGCTGCTTTTCTCCTGCCGGGCTCATCCCTCTCTGTGCCCCGCAGTCCAGCGTCCCCTCCCCCGGGGAGCCAGCTGGGCCTGGAACGAAGTCCAGGCTGGCAATGTCTTTGGCCCACACGCCTCTTCCAGGGCTGTGGCAGCTCCCTCCCATCTCAGGGAGGGGGACAGCGTGCCCCCCACCCTGCACGTCTAGGACAGGCCCAGGCTTCCGCTGCCCCTACGGCGTTTGGGGCAGCTGTGCTCTGGCTGATGGGACCCCTTCCCCAGGCCAACCCAGCCCATGTGGGGGATAAAAGGCAGCTGCCACTGCTCCCCGACTTCCTTGGTCTTCCTCGGCAGGAGGAAGGTGCAGGAGGGATGGGCAGCCGCTCGGCTGAGGTTGCCAAGTACGAAGGGCCTGTCCCAGCTGCTCCCTGAGGACCTACCTGCACTCGCAACGGATGTGCTGAGAGAACGTCAGCTCCACATAGGAGGGCCGGTCCTCAGAGTGGATCTTCAGGAGCTTCAGGGAGAGAAGAGTTTGATGCCTGGATTGGGGGATGGCTGTGGGTTTCCAACGTTCTCTCCACCCTCTCCTCGCAAGGAGGGCCAGACTCTTGTTTCCCACCAGCCTTTGGATGGTGTACTCTCATTCTGCTCTGAGTGGGCAGCAAACAGCCCTCACACCTGTGTGGGGGTCTGGGGGAGGCCCCTGTCCCTCCTCACCCAGAGCCACCAGCATAGCACCAGCGTAGGAAGGGGGTGCCCTGCCCTGGAGTCAGAGAGACCTGTGTGCCATCTTGGTTCTTCTACCTGCTGAGCAAGTGAAAGAGCAGCTCTGACCCTCAAGCTCTTCCTCGGTGCAATGTACCTACCACTTGCCTTGAGGGATTGAATGTTGAGGTAACAGAAGTCACATTTAGGAGGCACCTTGTGCAGGGCTCGGCCTCACTAACAAAGGGCCCAATAAACCAGAGTGTGTGCGTGTGTGTGTGTGTGTGTGTGTGTACGTGAGCGCAAAGCCCAGGGCGTCAAATGCTCCTATAGTGCACACACACAGGGACTTCTTGAATCTGAACAGACTCCTTTTCCAAGCTCAACCGGATATCCTTGGGTCTCGGGGTGGGACCAGGCTAGAGCCTGGGGAAAGCTGGTACCGCAGCACGTGAGTGGGCCCCATGCTGGCCCGGGGGGGGGGCCTGGGACCGGGACCGTGGCCGCCCGCCTCCCGGCCGGGGCGCCTACCTGCATGGTGACGTTGACGGTCTCTGCGGGCACACAGTGCAGGTTCTCGTCCCCACAGCAGCCGGCGCAGCGCAGCAGGGAGACGCAGGACGGGCTGAACATGTGCTCCACCTCGCCGGGGTACTCCGATACGATGTCCACCAACCTCTCCAGTGCCCGGCAGTAGCTGCGGCCCCACACCTCCTGGAAGGGCACCACTACAAGGAGGCACAGACGGCCGCGTCGGGCCCCAGTCCCTGCTCCCCAGGCCCTGCAGGGCCTTGCAGGTTCAGCCCACGCTCCCTCCTCCGAGAAGCCCCCAGCCTCTGTGAGCTCCCTGTGCTCCGAACCCCTGACACGAGGCCTCTGGGGTGACTGCTGGCCGCACAGCTCATCTGCCGCACAGAAATCCCAGCCCCGTGGAGTTGCTCAGTGCCGGGCTCTGCACTCTGTTCTCCGCGCAGGCACCCCTATCGGCTTTGGTGCCCTTGGAGCTTGGAGGAGCGTGTCTTGGCAGCTCCTCAGGCCCTCTGGGTCTTTCTCAGGCCTGCTCGAGTGCTTCTCGATCGTGGGGAATTTGCAGAAAGCAGTCAGTTCAGCATGACTGGCTTGTAGAGTCCCACAGGGAGGGTTAGCCTTCCCCTTAGTCCTCATTTTCTGCCCCACTCTGAGCCAGCTCCTCTACCTGGCAGCCAAGGCCACAGCCAGCAATGTGCCCCGAACCCACTCTCCGTATCCATCACCCTCACACCACGCCCGGCTGCATCACTGTAACTCCCACCCTTGGGATATGCTCCGTGTCCCCTTCCCTTTTCTAACCAAATAAAGCCCACCACCCCACCTCCTCCCTGAAGCCTTCCCCAACTTCCCCAGTCTGAACAATATTCCTCCTTGCAGCAGAATTTGGCCCCTGGGGCCTTGCCCTATCTTGGCCACTAGTAGATCTCATCTCCTCTACAACCAAGCTGAGGCTCCATGAGGACAGGAGCCCAAGCACCATGGGGAACACAGGCTAAGTAATGTCTGATTGGTTAGATGATAGTTCACTGAGACTTATCACAGACACCCCTGACCCCTTCTAGGTCCTGTGTGGTCATGACCAGGATCTCGTGTGGGCTGATCTGGAATCTCTCAAAAGATGCTGCTCCTTCAGGGAAAGGCCTGGGGCCTGGTCCCAAACAGGGGCTCATAGGAAGTGAGTAGCTAGAGCTAGGAGACCTGGCTTCTAGTCCTGGCCCTATCCTGGGCTGTATGACCTTGGGAAGGTCACTTAACCTTTCTGGGTATATCAGTTTCCTCAGCCAGGGGAAAACAAAAAGGTTGGGACTAGATGGTTGCTAAGGCCTCTCTCGGCTCTGACAGACGGTCTGGGATTCTGTGCGTGCAACCCTGCCCAGCCTTGAGACTGTGGGCAGAGAGACCTCTCCCACACTGGGTCATCCTGCCCTATACCTGACAGTTGTCATCAGCTGATGGGGGAGGATAGGGCAGCTGGATCACCTGGGGACCCCACAGCCTCTGTCCCAGAGCCGTGGCCTCTCCTGACAGCCCCTCACTTCTCCCCACGGCCTTTCCTAGGAGACAGAAGGGGCCAAAGTCCATTCCACTGAGCCTGCAAGGCCTAGACTCAGGGTAATCTTAGAGGAAAAATAAACTTCAGCCCTAACAGAGGCCCTCTGGAAAGGGCTGCAAGCTGGTGGAAAATACCCAAGAGGTGGTGTGTCCCTGTGGAGCTGGCCAAGGCAGCCACAGAGGCAATAAACCATGCTTATCTGGGTGTCTGCCTCTCCATTCTGCCCTGTCTGCTTAGGGGGTACTAGGAGCTGGGCCTGGGGACCCACGGGGTGCCAGATGCCTCCCCTGGTCCCACCTCTCCAGGCCACGGGGACACTCTCCCTGGACCCAAGTGGGAAACAAGCCCTCTCCCTGTGAGCAGCCACGGTGCCCTGGGGAAGCCGGCCTGTGCGGTTTGAGGCCGGGGGAGCCTGTCCCTATTGTAACTGCAGGAGCGCGTGTTCAGTCTGAAATCCACGAGCACTGTGGAACTCGGAGTGTTTAATCTCCGCTACGGACAACATAAATAACAGCAGAGGGACAGCCAGCTGCCAAAGCGCCATGGAAACCTCAGGCCCCTGCTCTGGGACCAGCCATTTGGGTGAGGGGCGGTAAGCAGCAGAGAAGGGGCACCTCAACCCCCTTCCATTCTCCACACAGACCCCCACCCGGCTGGGCAGGCAGGGCCACGGCCAGGTCAAGTAGAGCTGCCTGGGTTTGGCGGCAGAATGGATCTCCTTTCCTCACCGCACACCCCGCTATGCTCCAGGGCCCCGGAATCTGCCACTTTGTGGGCCACATGGCCAGACCGTGTGGGGAGGAGGAGGGGGAGAGGGCTAAGAAGGAGGTGGGCTGGGCCTGGTTTATCTGGCGGCCACCAGGAAAGAGGGCAATTCATCCCTGGAGGCCACAGTCTGGGCATGTGGGAGAAACAGAGCAGGCTGTGAGGGGCTGGCTCCCGGAGCATGGGGACTGCTCCCAGATGGTGGCTGAGCCCCTCAGGAGAGAACCTGCTCAGCAGCTCCCGAGAGCACTTCCTCTGGCCCCAGACCTGCTCCAGAGGCAGGGTGAGGTAAGATGAACTGGAGGCCGTGGTTCCGTCAGGCACCTGGCCGGGGCTGACCGGTCCCATGGGCTGCTGCTGGGGCCTCAAATGGGCTCTCCGCAATCTCTCACCAGCTCCAGGGGCAAGCCTCCCATCCTGCTCCAGCTGCCTACCACCCAGGACAGAGGAATCGCAGGAAGGGAAGTGTTTAATCCTGAGAGCAAGCTCCTAGGGAGGGGCCACAGGGCTGGGCGGAGCCACTGGCCACCAGCCTGGGTTCAGCAGGTGTCCCCTCCACGGCAGGGCACACAGCCAGCCTGCCGAAAGGGACATCCTGCTCCTGCTTGCTCAGCCGTGAGCCACGGGGAGGCCTGGTGCTGTGCACACCGACTTTGCCACATATACCGAGGCGCGTCTGAGGCTTTAGGAGACCCCAAGGGCCTCTCTGAGCCTCAGGTTCTCCTTCTATAAAAGGTAGAGCATATGCATGCCTTCCCAGTTCACAGCCTGTGGGCAGCTCAGAATTGCAGTAAACGCCCAATGCTAGTACCATGAATCGTAATAGTAAAAATCAACGTCCATGGCTGCAAAATACAGAGCATGCTGTCTCTTGTCTGGTGTTAGCGAGAGGGGATGGCATTTCCATATGGTGGTGACTGGGGTCCCGAACTCATGGTACTTGCCCTGGCCACAATACAGATCCCTGACTGATTGGGATGACAGGTGAGCTGCCCTAATGAACTGACACGTCTAAGCCTCCTCACCCCTGTCCCTGGGAGACATATACTCCTGTGTCTCCTCCATGAAGTCAGAGAAGTGCACAATCTTAGAGAAAGAACCTTGGATATCATGTAATCTAATATTCCCATTTTACAGATGAGGAAACGGAGGCTCAGACTTCTTTGGTGACTGTTGCTTGAAATACACTAAAAGAATCAAAGAGGCCATGGGGTGGAGACGGTTGATGGGCCCCTCCCCAAATCCCGAGAGCATGATATTGTGACAGTCCCAGGGGGCACAGCAAGGAGAGGGGGAGAGTGTCAGTGAAGTTAAGGGCTGCTACCTCCCCCGCCTTCTCAGTGCCCGAGGCGCCTGGGACTCCGTGCCCAAGGGGCCCAGAAGCATAGCCAGGCCCAGGAGAGGTTGGCCACCAGGCGGGTAGGGCAGCAGAGGGAGGGTGTTCCCGCTTTCGGAGGCTACCACGAGTGTGCGTGCGCACGCCCCTACACGCTCCCTCTCCCACGGCACGATAGGAAGGCTCGGTAGTGGTGTGTGGCTTTGCTGCACGTCCCAGAGAGGCAGGGAGGGAGGAGCGAGGCAGGGGGCCTGGCATGGGACTCCTGCCTTCTGCACGTATGTCTCTTTGGCAAATGACACACCCTTTGATGATTGCCTCTTGATGCAACCCAGGGTGGGGAGTGGAGGGGCCTGGGAGGGCAGGACTCATGTTCTGTCTGTTTGTAATCAATGGAAAGGCCTGGTCAGATCCCCGCAGCTCCGCCAGGGCTGGGCTTCTGGGAAGGTCCCTCACCCCTCCCTAGTCCTCTTGACTGCTTGCCCACTGCAACCAGCTCCCAGACCCCTAGTGCAGCCCCTAGCTCTCACTGCCTGCACTGCCCTCCGAGACCCCATCTGCCTCCTTACATCACGTTGGGAAGGGGCTCCGAGCCAACTGGACGAACCCTGGGTATACCGGCCCCAGCCTCACTCTGTGGGCTGGGTGACCCTGGCCCAGGAACACACCTCACTAGGCCTCTAGGTCCCAATGAAGGATCTCTCAGGTCCTGCCAACTTTGTCAGCCAGGATGTCAGCCAGCGTGCAGACTCTCCCGAACTTCCTATCAGCCCGTGCCCATCCTTGATGCCAATCCCTTCTTATTCTGTGTAGAGGACTGGGAGGAGCGGGTTTGGTGAGCATGTGCATCCCCAGCCCAGTGTGCTTACCTTCCACCTCTGACGAGCCATTCCCAGCAGACAAGGCCCACTGCTGCGGACAGAAAGGGGCAGAGGTGAGGGGGGTCCACCTGGGGCCTCTGCACTCTGTGGCCGGGTTGGCGAGAGGGCAGAGGCCCCTCTGAGCTCCTTACCACCCGCTGCCCACACTCTGCCCCGTCTCAGAGCCACCTCTTTCCGAGCGCAGCTAAAACCTCCCTGGACCCTGGAAGGATCCCATCCCTCTCTCTGGCCTCAGTTTCCTCATTTGGAAAGAGTGGGAGGCTAGAAGTTTTGGGAGACCCTTTGCCTTCTGTGTCTCAAAGATCTTGCAGTCCTTCGGGGTCTCCCTTCTCCCCAGCCCCAGGCCAGTCCTGGGGGCCCCTGTGCAGCACGCCTTGGCTGGGCGCCAGAGCTCGGGGGAGGTGATCAGCTGGTGGGAGCTGAGGGGCTGGAGCGGGTGGCGCCAGGAGCCAGTGCTGCGGGTAAGGTTACACCTCTGGCCAGCCCCACAGCGGACAGGCAGCAGCAGGTAGGTAGTGGGGCTCTTCCGTCCCGCAGGGCTGCCCAGCCCACCCGCTCCCTGGTTGGAGCTGGAGACTCCTGGGGCAGCAGGTCAGTGCAGTGGGAAGGGATCTCATTGGCTTTGTCAGGATTTCACTGCCCAAGCTGGCTCCCAGCCAGACTCACCCGGCTCCTGGGAAAAGGGCCCTGCTCTCTTCCCCAGGCCCTGCACTCAGGAACTGTGACTGCCCACCCGGGGAAAGGGGGCATAGCAGGACCTCTTGTCTCACCCGTAGCCCACCCAGAAGCCCTGGGCTCACCCAGAGCCCCGGTGGGGGCAGGGCCCAGCCTCCCCACCAATGGCCTCTTCAGCTGGCTTCCCCGCCACCAGGCCAGGTCAGAGGTCCTGGGGGCGCCTGCCTGGTCATGGGGCCCCGACCCTGACCACAAGGCCAGGGACCCGCCAGGGATTAGCGCAGAGATGCTTTTAGCAAAGCCACCAGGGCTCCAGGGGCCAGACAGGAAACCTCCCTCCCTTCCCTGTGGCTTCCCTGCCCCCGCCAAGACAGACCCCGGAGCTGGAGTCTGGGACAGCCCAGCCTGAGGTCTCCTTCCAGAAGACGTGGTCCAGCCTGGCTCCTGGGAAGTGTGTGGACATCCATGGAGGTGCCGCTCCCCCGAGGGGGTCTGTGATTTCAGAACCCCTGCCTCGAGTGCTGGAGGCTGGGAAGATTAGGGGGGCCAGGCTGGGGTTGGGATAGGTCTTACCTGGGGGGGCACAGCGGGCAGTGCCAGCCCAGCCAGGAGCTGCAGGAAGCAAGTGAACAGCCTCATGGCAGGCATCTTCTCAGACGTCCCAAGCCAGGAGGTTCCAAGGGAAAACCACCATGCTCGGCCCCCTGGGGGAGCCCCTGGCACAGGAGGAGAGGACCTCACTGCTGCCCCGAGGTCCCCGCAGGTGGCCCGAGCATCCTCTGGAAGCCCCAGGAGCCTGGAGCCCGCAGGCAGGGCTGGGGCCGGGGCACCTGATGCGGAGCGCCCGGCGGGGCGGGGCGGTGTGGGGCAGGCGGGTCCCTGGGGAGGGCCCGTCGGGCGCCCAGCGCGACCCCAGGGCCTCTCTTGGCTGGCCAGTGGGGACGCAGTCTCCTCTTCAGACTGCAGCTCCCTTCTGGGACTGCAGCCTGTTGGCGACTGGGTTTCAAGGGCCGTGAGTGGGGCGGGGCTGCAGGCCCGCCCCGCCCACCGTCGACGAGGCCTGGGAGCGGCCGAGCGCCTCGCGGGGCTGGGGTGGCGGCGGCGGCGGCGGCGGCGGCGGCGGCGACGACGCGGACCCGAGCGCGCCCGGGCCGCAGCGCGCGGAAGGGCCGCCCCCCACCCAACCCCACCCACCCCCCATCCCCCGCCGCTGCGGCTCCCGCCCCGCCGCCGCCGCCGCCGCCCAGCCCGCAGCTACCCCCGGGGCCGCTCGGAGCCTGGTGCCCCGCGGGGCGCCCGTGCCCTAGGCGGCCCCCGGTGCCGACCCGCAGAGGGGCAGACGGCCGCGCTCCCGCTCCTCTAGGCCGGCGTGGCTGCGCGCAGCCGGGTGGTGGAGCCCAGCGTTTGCCACGAGGCTCCTGACTTCAGCGGCCCCTGCAGAAACTGCAGCTCCAGAACCCTAGGAAGGCAGCAGCGTGCCCCCTATGCCATCCCCACAGTCCTCAGGGGTGAAAGGAGGATTTTATAGATTTTATAGATGAAGAAACCGAGGTTCCCAGAGTGCCCCTGCCTGTGTATGTTGTACATACATATGCACTCTGGAAAAGGGTGTGCGTGTGTGTCTGTTTTTGAGGAACTGACAGAGACAACACACAAGCGTGGGGCTCCAGAGCCGCCTCTCCACCCCAGGCATACTTCTGGCCAAGCACGCAGACAGCAGGGCACCCCAGCTGTGGGCACCTGGCTGAGGGTCCAGCACCATTTTCTCCTGTGGGAAGCGGCTTTCTCAGGCTGCCACATGTAGTTTGGAGAGTGGCCTAGTGCTGCATTTCCTCCCAGTCCAGGAGGAGGAAATGCTCTAACTCGGCAGGGGTCTGCCTCTAGGGGTCTGTGTGTGTGGGTGTGTGGGTGTGCATGTGTAGGGGCATTTGTGTGTGACTGTGGAGATCCACGTGTGCCAGGAGTCTATGTGGTCTGGTGTCTATCTGCGTGTGTCTGCTGTATGTTCAAGTGCGGCTTGTGTGTGGGTCTGGCCTCTCAGTAGCTCTGTATGCTTGTGTGATTTTGTGTGTATGTGTCCGCTGTGTCTCTAGGTGTGTTTGCAAGTGTGTCTGAATGTGCCTTTGAGTGTGACTGTGAGTCTGTATGCCTGCCTGTCTTTGTGTGTCTTTCTGTGTGGGTGAATATCTGGACTGGCTTCCGTGAAAGACTGTGCATCTCTGGACACTTGTGTGTGCCCTCCTGCAGTCCTTGCGCGTTCATCACCCCCACTGCCCTCCCTGCACAGCCCCCTGGCTGCAAGAACCTGGCAGGAGTCAAGGATTGGCCTGGGCCTGGGGCCGGTGGGTGCCGTGGGAGAGGGGGAGACCTGGGAGGCAGCCCCTACCGCTCACATTCCAGCCAGAAGCAGAGAGGCCAGGGCAGCCCCAACTCTCACCCCAGTGACCTCTGTGTCCATTGCCTGCCTGCCCACCCACGCGGGCCTGCCAGAGAGACTGCCGCCCTGCCTGGCCAAGCCCGGAGGTCCAAGAGCCAGGGGCCAGTCATCGGCCAGCTAAGCGGGGGCTGCAAAGAACATTCCAACGAGCTCCAACATGCTAGGGCTCATGGAGCAGACAGACTCCTCCCTGGGCCCGGGGTCATGGTGGAGGGTTGTCTGGGCATTGCTGTGTATGTGTATGGGGGTGAGTAGATGTGTATTTGTGCATATCTCGATCACGTATGTTTGCCCATAACATCTGTATATGCGTAGTACATGCGTTTATGTGTGTCTTTATTTTGGATTTGGATTTGTGTATGTGGGCACAGGTGTGTGTTGTGCATGAGTATGTGTATTTAAATATCTGTATTGTATCTGCTTGTCTGTAACTGAAGGGTTTGAGCACTTATGCATTGGGCATGTTTGCCTGTGACTGTGTATGTAGAGGCCTGCATATATTGTTTATGTGCATGTGTTTGCGTTCATTCATTCTTTCATTTGACGCAAAGCTTCAGCCCTACTGTGTTTTAGGCACCGCCCCCGGGGGCATGCGGTGCAGAGGTTCCCTCAAAGTTTCTGTTCGTGGGGGCTGGTACAGACGGCTGAGGCGTCTCCTCTCTTTCTACACTCTTGAGTGAGCTGGACAATGTCTGGGGCGCCTGGGTGGCTCAGTTGGTTAAGCGTCTGCCTTTGGCTCAGGTCATGTTCCCAGGGTCCTGGGATCGAGCCCCACATCGGCCTCCCTGCTCTGCGGGAAGCCTGCTTCTCCCTCTCCCTCTCCCCCTGCTTGCGTTCCTTCTCTCGCTATCTCTCTCTGTCAAATAAATAAATCTTAAAAAAAAAAAAAAAATACCTGGACAATGTCTGCGGTTCCCACAAGTGGGCCTGTTCTGTCACTAACCTGGGGACCATAGGCTTCTAAACCTGGCTTCTTGTGTCATGAGATGAAATAGCTAGGGTAGGCTGGGGGCCGAAACCAATGAGACCCAACATTTCCATGGGTTAGATAGAAGCCTACTTTTGTTCACATCCAGTCCAGGGCAGGTGTGCTGGTGGCTCTGCCCTCCTGAGCTGCGAGTCCAGCCCTTACCGGCCATATAACCTAAAGTCACTTCCTCTGCTTCTCAGAGCCCCCACTGCCTCCATCCAAAGTGGGAATAATAACAGTCCTTTTATTGATCGCCTGACTTCTGATTCAACTTTTAATTCTTACTAGAGATACAAAAACACTCCAGTTACAGAGCAGGGTCCTTGCCATTACGGACATGAGACAGATGGAAAATAAAGAATTGTATGCTTCTGCTAACTGCAAGGAGCCAACGATGGGGGGAGGCGCATGTGTGTGCAGCCTCCTCCACCTCCCGTGCCCCCATATTCTCACCATCACCATCCAGGCAGTCAGGTCCCAGCTGTCATCGAGGCCTTCGGAGCAGATCCACTAGCAGAGTCAACGCCACAACTCCACACTGAACTGTTTATCGTTGCAATCATTTGTTGGTGTTGCAGGGAGAGAGATGATGTTTAGTGAGCACTTATGATGGGCCAAGCACTGTGCCTGGTGCTTGAGTCACTTCAGCTTGGCTGAATTCCACCACAGCCCTGGGAGGTAGTTTTAATTATTCCCATTTTGAAGATGGGAAGATGGAGGTGCAGGGAGTTTAAGTAATTTGCCCACAGTCATTTAGCTACTAGAGAAGTGACGAGATGAGGGTCAACCTAGGTCTTTCTCCAAGCTCTTTCCAGTGAGCATAAGCTGTCTCTGCCAACCCTATTGCAAATACCTTGAAGTTAGGGTCCATGTCTTGAGCCTTTTCTGAGTCTTCCCCTTGCCGGAGCAGAGTGGATGCCTGGCAGACTCTGAAACGTTGATGTGTGGGATGGAGAAGCCCTCATCCCAGGCCTGGAGCTGACCCTGTCACAGGGAGTCAGGCAAATATAGGTAAACACAGGGGTCTAGGCCATGGAAACACTCTCTAGGCCATGACAATAGTCACCCTGAGCAGCTGTGGGGTCTAGTCCTGCATGCCAGGCTGCCAGGCCAGCCCCTTCCTCCCAAGGCTGCCCCCAAACACTCAGCTTCCCACACCTTGCATTAGTCATAGTTTTAGCCTGAAACACCTGCCTCAACCCATCCCAATTTCTTGTCTTTCAGCTTCCTGACTCATTTTCCCATTTTGGCCTAGCCTCTTCATTGTCTTGACCCTCTGAACTATTTCCTAACTATGACCTTTTCCTATTCCCTTGATGGCAATTCAGCATCTGCCTCTGGAGCACTGTCCCTGAGCCCCAGACCTGGGTATGGCCAGAGGTGGGTGAGAAGTAGAGTATCCAAGGACTAGAATCTCTCCTTTCCTGGCTGGCAGGGACAGCAGTAGCGGGCAGCTGGGGCCGAGGGCCTTTCGACTTTATAGGCTGGATGAGCTATAGCCACCAGCTAGCCAAGGTCATCAGCGGGAAGCTGCCTGGTTGGCCTTCTCTACCTTCTCCTCCTCCCCTCGGGCTGGGATTTCCTGTGGGCCCACCCCAGCCTTAACACTGAGCCCCTTTCCTTCTCTCCACGCACTTCTTCCAGGCGGGCTGCGATGGCCTGGCTGGCCACCACCGCTGGGTGAGATACCCCTCATCCAGCACCCAGCACCTTGAATTGTTTCTCCATCGTAGCACCGGGCTGTCAGTCTCATCACTGCCTAGCTACTTGTCTGTCTTCCCTCAGACTGTAGGTCTGAGAAGGCAGGCACTTGTTCACCCTTGGATCGCCAGCACCTTGTCCAGTGTCTGGCACACAATAAGGGCTTAATGTTTGTTGAGTTGGATCACTCCTCCAAGCACTCTCTCCTCTCCCCACAGGGACTAGGTCCCAAGTCTGCCCATTCCTTACCCAATTGTCCTTCAGTCTTCAGAGGTAGCCCTCCTGAGACCCCATGCCCGAGACAACTTGGGTGGGCCTCTCTGGTAGGGGCAAGTGTGGGAGGACAACCTCCCATTACTATGTAATCACGCCCTGGGTTGGTCACCACAGCCCCGCCAGCCCCCAGGGGACAAGGCTCATGCTTCTGGCCAGAGACCAGAACCCAGTGGGGGGCCTGGGGTGGGGTCAAGTTGGAAAGGAGACAAAAGTAGAGCCCACGGGTGACCAAGTGGTTCCCGGGGGGCGGGAAACAAGATGGCATCAGCCACCAGGGCTGTGAACAAGTGAAGCCAGGCAAGGTGCCCGCCGCCTTGTCCCAGGCCTTCGGGGCGACGCGTCGTCACCAGAGGATCGGAAACCTGTAGTTTGGGAACTTGGCAGCCAGGGCTGGGTTTTTCGTGTTTTCTGTAATTATTTCCCTTTTGTTCTCCCTTAGTATTTAGTAAAGCCCTTTGTGAAAATGCCAGCTGGTCTCAGCTGTGCTAAGAGGATGACAAAGGGGTCCTCTGTGTGTGCTTGGCCCTCCACTTTAATGGAGGGACCTCGCTTAGTGTGACAGCAGAGTCGAGGACCACCAAGGGCAAAGGGAGGCTCTGGGGCCACAGCCAGCACCTCGTGT